ATTCGGCCAATCACAATGCATTGGATAGCTGGCCAATCAGAGCACACCTCGCTTTTTCAGACCGATGAGCTTTGTAAAAATCAACGCATTTCAGAAAGGCGGGGCATAGAGGAGAAACAATAATGTACAGTATGTGGAAAATAATGTGTTTTTTGAACCTTAAACCGCATAAACACATTTCATTACACCAAATACACAAAATAATGTTCTTTTTTAGCAGCATCATATGACCCCTTTAAAATTTCCAATGTTTTGTTGGCTGAACAATTAAAACAACAGTACAATTGATCAAGCTGTATTATGCCATTTCCAATTTTGCAGTGGAGATTTGCAATGGGATTTTAACTTCCGGAATGTGCTCTTAAACTAAATGTTTATCACGACTCGATTCGAAAGTGGAAAATTGTTAAATATTTCACACGGCGAGCATTTATTAAACTCCTCTGTATCTTTTTATAGATGTTAAATGTTAAAACCATGTCAAACAGAAGTCACATGCTGATGTCATAACAGAAATCTGCTGTCTAAACACACTCGGGTGTTTTTCCACCGATGGGACGGATGCCATCTGGTGTCTTTGACAGTAAACTATGAGGTGTCAGGCGTTGGGGGGGATGGATAATGATTGCTGATTGGTTAGCATGTGTTTGGACCCTCAGGGGCCCATGTGCGCCACAAAAGCCGCTGAACGCTTAGCTGGAACAGGCAGATTGATTCCCCCCCAGGATTCAGTCTGTGTGTATTTTGGTGCATATATACTGTATTGAGCAGTTATGTACCAGTTGTGCTAATGAATTTGGCGCTGTATGCTGTTATTAATTTCTCTCGGGTCAGTGGGGGACGTTAACAGTCATGATATTCATTCTGTGGCTCACATTCATGAATATGGTATGTTTGGATATGTCGTAAATTAAATTACTCACACATCCTTGGCAGCTTCTGCTGGACCTGTAAAAACAGAAAAGAAAATAAATGTTTTTTTATTATTAATTTAAAGGATTTATGTGTAAAATCAACATTTAATACTATTAGTTCGCAACCCATTTTACTTAGTAATATGTTTTTATGAGTAAAATGGAAAAAATGTTTTCAATGTTTTTTTTTCATAGTGCTACATTGATTATCAGCCATTTATTACATAAAATTAATATCATTTTTTAATATAATTTTAATATAAAATTATATATTAATACACACACACACACATATATATATATATATATATATCCCGGGTGCCCATTTGTATACACACAATATATAGAACATTATTTTAATAATACAATATACATTATATAGAAACATGTATCCATATCTATACATATATAAAATTATTAATTATATTTAAAAGTGTAACATTTAGTTTTCTTTTTTCGTTTAATAATACTATAAAAATGAAGCATTAAAAATAAAAATGAAAAATTTACAAGAAACCTTGAGTAACTGCAAAAGTAATGCAAAAAGGTAGTCTCTTCAGAATGATTCAGACATGTTTAGTGAATCAAATTCAGTTCTTTCTATGACTGTATTGATTTTAGGGGTCACAAGAGTGATGTTTCCAGCATTATTCAGTCTGCGGTTCAATTCTTTGATTACAAACTTTCATTTGTGCAGTGACTCTTAATTCACCCTAAAAGACAGAAACCACAGCTGCTTTCTCCACAATTGTTTTTCTCTCAAACACAGTCTTTATTAAAGTCTCAATGCCTAGAGCCGTTGCTTGACAGAATCGACTGACAAGTTTGACTTAAGTGTGTTAAGACTCTTTGTTTTGGAGGATTCAGTCAATATACAGAACATCCATCTATGTTAGACTAATGCTGAAATCCTTTTCACTGAAGACTGTTCTCTTGAGTGTTTTCTTGTCCTCAAGAAACAGAGCTAAAAAAAACAAGGTCAGTTTTATCGGGTCAAGAATCATATCCAGGCAACCTTTCATCTTGGAAGGTTCCACACTCTTAAAAATAAAGATCCCAAAAGGTTTTTTTTGCAGTGATGCCATAGAAGAACCATTTTGCGGTTTTAAGAACTGTTCTTTTTAACCAGTTTTTATTAGTTTGAAAAACATTTTAAAAATCGAAAGAACCTTTTGTGGAATGGAAAGATTCCATGGATGTCAAAGGTTCTTCACTGAACCATAGATAGCAAAAAGATGTAAGTAGAAAGAACCTTGTGGATAGTAATGAGATGCAAATAATCTTTTGATTAACTCTCCTGTTTCTCAGATGTTTTTCCTGAGAAAAAGATTCCAAGAAACCAAAGTCTGCATTCAAAAGATCTCAATATGAACTCAAACATTTCTCATCACATTCATCCAAGAGCAAATGCTTTATCCACACTCATTTTATAGAGTCATTTATGACTGTTTCTATGTTTTATGTTAGGAGGAACATAAGAGATGAGGAGGTGGCACAGGGATGGTTAAAGGGGCTGGCAAAAAGATGGCACACACAGGCAGAGAGACGCAGGAGGAGGATGAACAACAAAGTCCAGGGTGGTGATGACGGTGGGGTGAAAGCCAGGGAGAGGCTTTGAGCAGGGGCTTGATGGCAGGTGCCCAGGCCACAGCCTGAACGGCGCTCCATGGCGGCGTCGATGGAGGGAGTAGCCAAGGTGTGATAGGAACACATGCCGCCATGGGGACGAATGGAGGCGACGACAGCAATGGAGGTGGAGCCCACTGCACAGACAGAGAGCCGAGGAGGTGGAGTGATGCCGAGGATCCAGGCGGCTGCAACGAAGCTGTAGCGATGATGGCCCGAGATGTAGGTGGGGATCCGGAGGCCAGAGGGCGAGCTGGAGCGACCGAGGAAGGAGGCGGAGCGGGTCATAGCCGAAGGGGTGGAGGGCCAGAGAGCAGCGGACGGCCCTCAAATCAGCAGTGGAGGTGTGGCAAAGTCCGATCCAGGTGGAGCCAACTGACGGAGGGAGCCCGGCGAGGCTGAATGGCCAATGGTTCACTGGAATCGAGGATGGGAGGAGTGCAGGAGTCTGGGTGGTGGGACGAGGTGGAGTGGAGCCATCCGAGGCATGAGGCGGAGCCACGGGCTCCTCAGGTCCAGGAGACGAAGACTCCCAGCAGGCCCGAGATGGAGCCCCACCACTAAAAGAAGGTGAAGCAGAGGAACTGACTGGGGATGAAGAAGACTGGACAGCAGGAATGCTTCTGAGGAGACTGAAGAAATGCACAAAATTCAATCAAAAATAAAAAGTCAGTTTGGAGAGGAGGTGGGAGAGGAAGGCTGGGCAGGACCAGCGAGTCAAACAGATGAACAGAATCAGGCAGGCTTAGGGGAAGCAAAGCCTCTAATTCTCCAAACGGAATTCCCTTGGCGATGGATGGGACAGTCGGCACACACACCTGTTTGGACGGGGTCTTCTCTGGCTCGCTGATGGCGTCAGGTTCGGTCGCTCCTCCCAGCGATGGCTGAGGTGCTCTCTTTCTGTCTGCGGTGGGCTCAGACTCAGGCTCAGTCTCTCCTCGCAGTGAGGTGGTGTCTGGCTGGGCACTGGGTTGGGAGTGGGGCTGGCGTCTTCATACGCGAGGCCGGCGGTGAAGGCAGATCTGCAGGAGCTCAGCACCCACTCCACATAAGTGGTAATGTCCAATACAGTTTTTCACTGTATATAGTAGGATAATTTACCGTTAACCATTTAACAGGTTTTTACTTGAGCATTTTTACAGTCTTTTACCGTTAAATTCACAGTAATTTTTTACAGTGTGGACTTTGAACGATTAATTGCCGCTTTGAACGATTACGTAATTGTGGCATCCATAATTGTAATCGCGATTAGAAATTCGATTAGTTGTGCAGCCCTAGTTCCAAGGATGTTAAAGGTTCTTTTATGGAACCAATGATGCCAAAAAAAAGAACCTTATTTTTAAAAAAGTACTACAAAGCTGTAACACGAAGCTCAAGAGAAATATTTGAGTTCACATTTGAGATCTCTGACTTTTGATTCAGACTTTGGTGTCTTGGTCGTATCCGAGCACCCTTTTCTTAACCTTTATTGAACAAAATGTAAGATTTTCGGAGTGTTCTTCACTTGAGAAGCAAAAGTGCCTCTCACTGCCGTCTGGGAGAAACATAGATGCTAAAGCGATCTCATTTGTGGTTTGTCTCATTTTTCTGTCCAGCGCGCTCACACACGCTCTCCTCATTAAGTCTAGAAGCACAGATCTGACCTGAATACATATTAGACGTGAGGGACGAAATCTCCATGACTGATTTAATAAGCATCAGATCCTTCACCTCTCTCTGACGCTTCATTCCTCTACATCCGTCCGCCGCGGAGCTTCTGCTAATAGACCGAGGACACGAGACGTTATCAAGCTCCTACACGCACGTAATCAAGTGTTTAAGGACAAACAGCGCGCTCAATCAAACCTCGGACAACACGACACGTCCATTGATAAAAAGCAGTGCGCGCGTAAGTGGCTGAAACACGCTCACCTCCTGCTGTCGTGCTGGTGGCGGAGGAATTCCCACATCCCATTTTGGCATGAACGCAGCTTTCCGTGCCTGCTTTAGAGAAGGACGAATGAGTGAAGGACGGCTCTGATGTGATGCACGAGCTCCCTCGAACGCAGCCTCGGTCAGTCTGGATGGTGTGTGTGTGTGTGTGAGAGAGAGAGAGAGAGAGAGAGAGAGAGAGAGAGATGCTCGAGCCTCACATGATTCGCTCCTCTCCTCTCCTCCACCCTGACAGGGTTGCCGTGGAAACCGAGGGGGGAGAATGGGGTGTGGTGATTTTACATGGGAATTAACTGAGTTTGCAGGAACTCTTTACAGGTAAGAATGTAAAAATTATTTTCACATAATAAATAAAATAGGCCAAATATAAACAGTAAAAGCAAGCTGTTAATAATATATTTAATGTAAATCATTTACATTTATAATGTTCCGTTTACAAATTAATGTACATTTTCAATTTATTAATTATAAAAATTATAATAA